GGTTGTGAGAATTTAATGAGATAATGCATGTAAAGGGCATAGTAAATGCTCAACAAACTCTTATTATTCTTGGGGACAGTAGGACCTGGACGGAATACATCTAGAAGTGGTAAACTCAGTTTGAGAGCCAGGAAAAGGTGAAGTCTGGTACAGGGAAACTGCTCATAGCAAAGACCCTGGTGGAGTGCTGATAATACAGCTGGGGAAGAGCATGGAAACTCTGGGGAGCTGGGGTAGGAAGAATTGGATGGGAGGAAGAGGAAAGACTGAAACAAAATCACAGTACATCTGTAGGAACTTTCTAACAAGAAAAGCGCAGTACTATTCAGGATGCAGTGCTCTGGGAGGTAGTAAGCTCTGACACTGGGAGTGTTCAAGCAGAGGCTGGGTGCTGGCTACCTGTCAGGAATATTCTAGTCTACCCCAGAGTAGACTACAAATCACCTGGGAATTTTGTTTAAATGCAGATTCTGATTCAGCAGGCCTGAGTGGAACCTGAGAGTCTTCACTTCTCAGGAGCTCACTGACAATGCCGATGCTCCCGATCAACAGATCTCACTCTTAGTAGCAAAGGCTCTGTTGCAGTTTGAAAAGAAATCATAATGAGACAGATGAATTTGGTTAGGAAAAGCCAGAGAGTTACCCAGACAAGGCTCCATAAAATGGGAGCACTCTAACGCAGTCAGGATCTACAGTCTGGTCCTTAGCTTCATAAGCTTTGCAATTTGATTGGTAGTATAACCAGAGCCTGGGCTCCCGGGGACTGACTCATGCTTAACCAAATTCACAAGATACCCATATACAAGTCAGAATGCCAACTGATTAATTTCTAATGAGAAGTATAACTTCTAAGAGGAACAGATACTAATGTTTTCTGATCAGTGCATTATCTCCCTGTAGGCATATTTACATGAGGAGCTAAATGATAATAAGAAGGTTGCTTGGTGAGGGTGGACTCATAACAAGGGCAGTTCACAGGATGATTTTTAACAGTTCATGTCATCAAGCTATGATAGTCTGATACCTCCATCTCCACCACTGGGCTAGAATGGTCTAGGGTGAGGGTGTTAGCCTCAATACCAAGTCTGTTGTGCCCTAATACAATTTGGATGATATATGTAAGCCTGGGTCTGGTAATATCATTCATTTGATCCACTTCAATATAAATTTACAATCTAAACTCATCATTACAGAAAGTTTAAAATATAGAGAAAAGTTGAAAAAATATTGTAGCAAGCACCTATATACCCACCATCTAGATTCAACAATTGTTATCATTTTGCCATATTTACTTTATGTCTCTGTGTGCATACACGTGCATTGAGCCTACACTGTTTAACATAGATTGCGGAACTCTTCATGCTCTGGCACAACCCGCTTGACCTGCTCCATTCCTCCTGGCTCCCCCTTTGCTCCCCAGGCATACCTAACTATTGGATGGGAGTTCCCGAATGTTCCCTGCTATTTATTACCTATTGCCTATGTCTGAATATCCTTATTTTCTTTTTCCTTGATTAACTCTATTTGTTCATAAAGACAGCCATGCCCATGTTGCATCCTATACTCTTCTCAGTGATAACATGTATTACACTATGCTGTTATTTGCTTGCCTCTCTTCATGGCTCAGATGGTAAAGAATCTACCCGCAATATGGGAGACCCGGGTTCAATCCCTGGGTAGGGAAGATCCCCTGGAGAAGGAAATGGCAACCCACTCCAGTATTCTTGCCAGGAGAATCCCATGGACAGAGGATCCTGTTAGGTTATAGTCCATGGGGTCGCAAAGAGTCGGACGCAACTGAGTGACTAACACTTTGACTTTCTTACTAAACTATGAACTCCTTGAGGGCAGGGACTGTTTCATTTGTCCCTGTATACCTGTACCTCTCAAGTGTCTTGTGCTTGGTAGATGTTCAGTAACCAGAAAATTCAACTGCCAGCTGGACAGTTCTACCTAGTTACATCATGGGCACGTTGAATTCAACATGTCTAAACTGAAATAATTTCTCCTCCTACTGAGTCTACATATTTAAAACGCTCCTCCTAATTAAATGCCATTCAGTCTTCCAAGTCAAAAACCTCAGAGCAGTCCCTAACTCTTCCCTCTCATTCATCTTCCAAACAAGTCTTATTGATTCTATCTCCAAAATACACTACAATCTGTCCATTTCTCTTTATGTCCATTACCTATTTAGTCTGGGCCACCTTCATTTCTCACCTGGAGAGCACTGCCAACAATCCTCTGTCTGGGTTCCCTACAGACAGAGGATTCCCTGCAGGAGACTCTTGTCTCCTCCAAATTTTTATTCACAGAGAAGCCATAATGATTACTAAAATTCAGATCTGATTTTATTACTCCCTGCTTAAACCTTAATTATATTACTCCTTGCTTTTGGATCAAGTTCAAACTCCTTAACTTTACCCAAAGGACTCTCAAGAACTGAACCCTTTGAACCTCTATAACTTTATCTCTTGTACTCTGGGTCCCAAACACTTGGTGTTTATAGAGTCTGTATTACTTGTTGTTTCTCAACATTTTCAGTTTCATGCATCAATGCCTTTTCTTGTATTGTTCTCTGTCTAGAAAGGCTGACACTTTCAAAATCAGCACAATTGTAACCTCCTCTGGGAAGCTTTTTCTTAACTTCCCAGTCTGAGTTAGTTCCTCTTCTCTAACACCCACTACTGCCCTACACCTACCTCTAGCATATCTCTTACACTATAAACATCCAGCACTCTAGACATAATACAGTGATCAGTTTGCTTGTTTGTCTCATCAAAAATAATTTATGAGCTTTCTGAAAGCAGAGTTGGTGTCTTATTTTTTAATCCCAATGCTTAGCCCATGATTGGCATACAGGAGATTGCAATAAATATTTAAGAAAAGACAGAATGAATATTAATAAATGTCTCTCCAAACTTCATTATTGTAAACACCTCATAAAAGATCTCTTTTCTTTTGAACACATTGTTTCCAGTTGTTTGTCACACAAGTAATATTGATTGAATGTTGAGTGCTCTCTACCAGTAATTTCAGACAATTTCTGGAATCATACAATTTATTTAGATGGCAGATGCTATCCTTTTGTTTTACTCTAGGTAATTTTTATCTAAGAGAGTAACATAATCAGTAGTTGGGGGTGTCATGCTATTGGTCCCATATACTTCCCTTGACCTTTAAAGTCTCTTTCAACACCTACAGTTCATGGTTCACAAAATCGCCCATTTATTTGGATTCTAGGTGCTATTTAGTTATGGTATTAATTTTCCTCTAGGTTTCTCTCAAACCATGAGTCTCAAGTGCAGAACTGTCCCATGCTTAATCTTTGCGAATAATATTGATTAAGTAAACGTTGGGCCATGGGTGTGAAATGATTGATTGGGAACCTAACAAATGTTGGGCTGGATAAAGTAAATTATATTTATTTGAACTGAAAAAAAATGGTTAAAACTAAACATTCTGAACATTGCTTTCTCTGATTATTACCTCAGAGTAACAACCTTGATATTCTTTAAAAAGTATTGGGTCCCTGACTGTTTAATAATAATAGTATTTAACAGATAATAATTTTTATATTCTGCTAGTGAAGTGAAAGCCTCTCAGTCCTGTCTGACTCTTTGCGACCCCATGGACTATACACTACATGGCATTCTCCAGGCCAGAATACTGGAGTGGGTAGCCTTTCCCTTCCCCAGGGGATCTTCCCAACCCAGGGATCCAACCCAAGTCTCCCACATTGCAGGCAGATTCTTTACCGGCTGAGCCACAAGGGAAGCCCTATACTCTGCTAAGCACTGTTCTAAGGGCTTTATATGTATGAACTCATTTGATCATCTGGACAAGTCTATGAGGTAGGTACTATTATCACTCTCATTTTGCAGATGATGAGGAAACTGAGGCACGGAGAAGTAAGAAGTAATCGTGCCAAGGTCGAAGGTTATCCATGTGTCAGACACCAGAAGTATTAATTTCGTTTAATCCATTCTTATTTATTGAGCACACACTAAATTAACAACTAACAGGGTAAATGAAAATTGTATACTTAAAGTAAGGAGAAATCTTAACGCCAAAGTGCCATGAGCGAATTGTCAAGGTGAATCAGGCTCATTTTTGTTAGTGGGCAGTGGAGAAAGATTATGTAGTTAAGGTCATGAGTTGGCAGAGACATATCCGGTTGGGTAAATCTGGTTTGCGGAAGATGGAAGAGGCTTAGTTTCGAGGAGTATGAAAACAGTCATTCTTTTTTTGAGAGCTAAGATTAGCTTTAGAAGAGGCATCTAATGCGGTATATTTAGGATGAGGTAAGGGTAAAAGAAAATACACAGGTATGACGCTTGTTTAGAGCAGGAAAGGAAAAATTAAAAAAAAAAATGCGTTCTTCCTGCCCCTCTCCCCTTAGAGAATTAGTAAATAGCCTGCCTAGGTATCACCCACCTACACAAATTCTCTGGACTGCAACTCAGACCCTTCAGATCTGGGCTTTTTAGAAGTACTTTTCGCATTCTGGCACCTTAAACCTGAACAGCCTTGTGGGCAAACATTACGAGGGAAAAAAATACATTCTTGCAGTTCAAAATGGACTCGAATCCTACCAGCGAGCGTTTCTGTTCGCGCTGATTCCACAGTTCACCTGTCCATTTTTCCGATCCTAGTCTAAAGCCTTCCCCTCCTGCTACCCTTTTAAGAGGCGGTCCCGCAGTGTCCTTTCCTCCCTCCCAGCCACCTCTACCCCCAGTCAACGGGGCGGAGCTTCTCGCTAAAACCCCAGAGCCCGACGCGGCCCCGGCTGTCGCGGAGAGGAGTGGAGCCACAAAAGGCTTCCTCTGCGGCAACATCTCCGGCGACGCTACGTGCCCGCCGGCTCTGACCCAGCCCGCCGAGCGCGCCAGTCTCTCCCGGTCCTCTCCCTACCTGGCGCGCACCTGGCCCAGGCCGGGGTCCCGCCGAGAGTCGGGAAGGCGCGTGCCAGGGGCCCTAGGGAACCTCGGAGCGCGCATACCATGGGGCCGCTGCTGGGGGCCGGGATCTTCTGCCGCGGTGGTTGTGGCTTTTCCCGATTGCTGGCCTGGTGCTTCCTGCTGGTTCTGAGTCCGCAAACCCCTGGCTCCAGGGGAGCTGAAGCCGTGTGGACCGCGTACCTCAACGTGTCCTGGCGGGTTCCGCACACCGGAGTGAACCGCACCGTGTGGGAGCTGAGCGAGGAGGGCGTGTACGGCCAGGATTCGCCGCTCGAGCCCGTGGCTGGGGTCCTGGTACCGCCCGACGGGCCAGGGGCTCTCAACGCCTGTAACCCGCACACGAATTTCACGGTGCCCACGGTCCGGGGGGACTGGGGCAGCGTGCAAGTGTCTTGGTTGGCCCTCATCCAGCGCGGTGGGGGTTGCACCTTCGCAGACAAGATCCATCTGGCTTACGAGAGAGGGGCGTCTGGAGCCGTCATCTTTAACTTCCCGGGGACCCGCAATGAGGTCATCCCCATGTCTCACCCGGGTGAGTGCAGCTATCCGATTGCGCCCCATCAAACCCCTGCCGAGGCCGTTTTTCCCCATATTTCTCTCAGGGTATTCCTCCCCCCATCCCCTTGCTCCGAAGGAAGACGAGTGTCCTTTCTGTCCCCATCGAGTGAGGCAGGGTCCTCTCTTCCCCAGCTTCATCCTGCATGGGGGGTTGGGCGGGAAAATCCTTCAGAATTTGCCTCTTTGGTGGAAAAGGGTAAAAACCAACGGAGTGCGGAGACTGGCAACTAGAGAACTGTTGGGGTTCTTTGCGTCGTCTTTTCCTGCTGTTTGTGAGGGTGCTTGCATGGGGTGGGCATTGGTAGTGGGCATTGGGTTTGATATGACTGGGAGGCAGCCTAACCGAGAAGCCCATCTGGAAAATCCCTTCCTCAATCTTGTCCTGATTCACAGCTTCAGGCCCGCCGCAGATTTTTTTCCCCTGCTCTCCCTGTTCTCTCTGCGTGTTTCCTCGAATCAGGTACAAGATTGTGTTACTGTGCCCTGTTAACCTCATTCCAGTTTTGTTGGAAGCTATGTTTAGCCCTTGGATCCTTCTCTGCCCCGGGGTCTCAGGTCCCAAGTGACTGTTGGCATCACTGCTTTCCTTGGCCTCTGGGGAAAAAAATCTGATTTAGCTTATTGAGTGACAAAACAGGTGATTAGTGTTACTTAAAAGGGAGAGGTTTATGCAGGAGGCTAGCAAGGACCTAGACGTTGGAAAATGTAATCGAGGTAGATCTTACATTTGTGCAGATGAGGTGGGTTACTCTTTTTCCCTTTTCAGTTATCCTTCCAGAAACCTTCTCCCTATTTGTGTTTATGTATTCATACCAGGCCCCAAAAGACAAAGAAAAAAATGTGGGGGGATAAAAAGGCAGAGACACATACTAGCGGTGTATCATAGTTGTTGAGAGCTGGGCCTCAAGTCAGATGTTGGTTAAATTCTTGCTCCATTGCTTACTAGTCCTGTGACCTTGAGCAACTTATTTGAAGTCTAGCCTGGGTTCCCTCCTCAATCAAATGGAAAAGAACTAAGAATGAACCACTCCCACAGGTTTTCCAGGAGGATGAAGTGATTATCCTTTTAGGAGTCACTGGAGAAATGAATCTGCTTGTTTAGCTACTGGAGGTTTTGTGTTTTTCCTAAAACAGTGTGTCTGGCCCTGCCTAGAGAGCACTTGTAGACAGAGTGGCTGGGTGGTATAATGGAAAGGGCACTGAACTGGAACTCAGGAGATTTGAGCTCATTTTAGTCCCTTCTGTGCCTCTACCAGCTTTGTGACCTTGTACAGGTTACTCACTTAGTCAAATGATAGTACAGAGGTAGGACGGGGAGGCCAAGTTGCAGATTGTGCAGAGACAAAAATGAACCAAATAAACTCCCTTCCAGCTCTAAAATGCTGTGATTCTTAGATTTTATATTGAGTAAAGATAGCAGCAACTCCGTCTCTTTTGGTTGATAATTCATTGATTAGAATGAAAAGACTTTTTAAAGGCTGATAGAAAGGAAGAATAAGGACTCATAAATTTTAAAGTCCTTCCATTTCAATTGGCTACTTACATGCAAGGTTTTGACTTTGCCTCCTCCAAATGAGATTTGTTTGCACGGATGATTTGGAATTGAAAAGTACTCTTTAATTAGAGAGTTCTGGTTTAGACTGCTTTCATACTACTTCTGTTTAAGGATATAAGCTTATATTTATCTGATAGTTTTAGGGGACAATAAAATTAATTTTTTTGCATTTCTATGTTCCAGGCACTCTGCATACATCTTATACTTTGTGGAGAGATAGTATGGTGTACTAGGAAAAGCACAGGCATTGTAGTTAAGAATGAGAATCAAATTCTGAATTTACCACATAATAGCTTTGTGTCCTTGGTCAGATTTTTGAACTTTACTGAGTCTCAGTTTTCCCATCTGTAAGATGGAGATATTTACATTGCTGTGATCATTAAGGATAATGTATGTAAACTACCTAGCAGATAATAAATACTCAGTTAAAAGTCAGTTATTATAATAGGCTGATGTTAACAAGATGCAAAAAAATTAATGAGCAAACATAGGCTTACACAACTGTCAGGGTAAAGACAAATACACTGGTAATCTAAGCATGGCTCTTTTGTTTCAGAATACTATATAGAAATAAAGCCCTAAATATAGATCACTTAATTAAAACTCAGAAGAGTGTTTTGACACTTTAAAAATGAATTATTATCTGAGATGTAGCAATGAATTTTTATCTGACTGTAGCAGTGTTACACTTAGGTTAACTAGCTGAAAAAGCTAGCTAGATACTTGAGGAATGGAATCACATTTCTCCCTTTAACTCCTGGAAAAACTACTTTTCAACACAGGGGAAAATCACTTTGCATTTCATCCACGTATGTTGTTAAATATTTTGTTTGCAAAGTGCCGTGTTGTTTGCTTTGCTCATTCCTGAGAGTAATCCCAGGGTTCATTGTAATCTCTGGTCAGAAAATGATTTCTCTTGGATCCTAGTGGCAAAGAGGTAAGACTGAAGTTTAAATGTTGGTTAGCTTAATATATATTGCCATGAATTCTACAAGGGCCACTGAATGTGGAAAAGTCATTGCTGTGGACTTTGTTTTACAAAACCTTTCTCCACCCCCTCTCACAGGGGCCTGTGCTTAAGTTGTCCTTCAGTGGAATTAGTGCTGATCATCCACACTCCTACCTATCACAGTTCTGTGACCATGAAGATCCATTTGTTTCAAGTAATAGAACTAACTGGTTAACAGCAGTAGCTTTAAAACTTTTGTATATTGGAGAGAAACTCCACTAAACAACCGCAACCAATTAGAAAAATCAGGCTGTTTTTATGGATACCAAATTTTCCCAAAGGGTAGCTATAGCCTTATAGCAACCTAGCAGTTTATTTCTGTACACTATCTTCCAGAAAATCTTGATTCATTCAGATAAAAAATTGCAAATGATAGATTTTTATTAACAGCTGATCCTGAAATCTCTGGATATTTTTCATTCAAATTGATCCAGAAACGGGGAAGAAAATTCAGAGAAAATTTTGGTTGCACAGTTAAGTCACTGTCCGTGTCTTATTTAAATATGAAAATCTTGTAAGCACTAAAGCCGTCTAAAATGCAGAGTTGTTACGATGAGACACGTTGTGCATGCTCTTGTTATTGCACAACTAACTAGTCTGCTTTCCCAAGCAGATGAGCCTGAGCCTTGCATGCTTTCTAATTGAACACAGCCCACTGGTTGAAGTGGTGTCAGTACTTCCTTGTATAGTTTTCCTTGAGTCAACATGTGCAGGCATGAGTTTATTGAAAGACCTGTGCAAAGCTTCCACCTTCATAATCCATGACGTGCTTACAAGAACTTGAAACATATTCAGAGGGATGGCAAGAGAAGCATTATTCTTGAGGGCTGTAAAAAAGTGAATGAACCAAGCCATTTAAGTTAATGATTTGGTGGTCTCCCTTGGAATAGAGGTTGCTATATAAAACAGTTGCTTGTTGTATACATTGTTGAAAGACCTCTTAGAGCATATTAAGAAGATGACCTTTGCCACTTTTTAGTTATTTATTTATTTATTACTTTTTGGCTGCTCAGTGCAGCATGTGGGATCTTCGTTCCCCAACCAGGGATAGAACCTGTGCCCCCTCCAGTGGGAGTCAGGAGTCTTAACTGCTGGACTGCCAAGGAAATCCCCAGGGTTTTTTTTTTCTTAATTAAAATATACTTGATTTACAGTGTTGTGGTAATTTCAGGTATATAGCACAGTGATTCAGATACACACACACACACACACACACACACACACACATTCTTTTTCAGATTCTTTTCCCTTATGTGCATGCTTAGTTGCTTCGGTCGTGTCTGACTCTTTGTGACCCCATAGACCATAGCCCACCAGGCTCCTCTGTTGGTGGGATTTTTCCAGCAAGAATGCTGGAGTAGATTGCCATGCCCTACTCCAGGGGATCTTCCTGACCCAGTGATCAAATCCACGTCTCCGGCATTGCAGGTGGATTATTTGCCTGCTGAGCCACTGGGGAAGGCCCAATTCCCTTGTAGGTTATTATAAAATATTGAGTATAGTTCCCTGTGCTATACAGTAGGTCCTTGTTGATTATCTATTTTATATAAAGTACTGTGTATATGTAAATCCCAAACTCCCTCCCCCTGCCACTTACTATTTTTAAAATCTTAGGCCAGTGTTTTACTTCTCTATGTCTTAGTTTTCTCCTATGTAAGATGGACATAATAAAAAACTTGCCTGATAAAGTTAATGGAATTAAATGATATAATACAGATAAAGTGTTTAACACAACACCTGACATTTAGGAAGCAACTATAATTTTTCTTAGGATAGGATAGTTATATGTATTTTAGAAATACATTTAGAGTTAGGATAGGGATAGCTAAATGTATTTTAGAAAATGAAAATTAATTTGTATGTTTGTGGTATATAATATGAAAATGAATAGCCACGAGTACTCCAAGGTCCATATTATCTGACATCTAACTGTAACTCTTTGGGAATAAGTTGAGTAAACTGAATGCTTTACAAGAAAATGATCTTTTGGCCTGCATATGTTTGTCATTCTTTTCTCAAATAACTGCTTGTCCCTTGAGTAACCAATCTCTTTTCCATTCACAAGGACTTTGGAATAGGATTTTCCACTGGCTTATTACCACCCAGTTCCTTCTCAACCATTTGACATTTAGTTTTTATTCTGTTTTGAGTTTTGCTGTTTTTTTTAATTTTTATTTTTTACCCCCTAGTAAGTTGACATCAAAAAGAACCTCTTTAGGCTCAAAAAGAAGTTGAGAAGAGATTGGGTGGTGATGATTTACCAAGGTAAAATACCATTCCAAAATCTGTTCTCACGGTCATCCTTTTTGATCTATCTGCAGAAGTGTATTTGATATTGTTGACCACTCCTTCTTTGAAACTCCTTCCCAAGCAGTCTCTTGCTTCTCTTTAGCTTCATTTCTGTTATTTT